TAAAAAAATTGGTTTAAATGTAAAAGCTTGGAGAACTGAGAAAAATATCAAACGTCCTGCAGAGAGTCTAAAAGAACAACATGTGACGCTAAAAATTGTGTTTTTAGTGTTTTTTATAATAAATTAGATACTAAGAAGGGTGAAAAATATATGTATAAACTAGCCAACCAAAAAAAGAAGAAAAGTAAAGATTTAACTCAAGTAAAATGTATTAAGGATGAAAATCAAAGTGTTTTTCTTAGAAAAAAATATTTAACATAGATAGGTGAGTTATTTTGATAAACTTTTTAATGAAGCTTCTGAAAATACGATCGACTTTAGTGATCTTAACATCGTGAATAGTAATAAAACGTTTCATTTTTACAGTCGTATTAGTAAAAAAGAAGCTGATGAGGCTTTAAAGAAAATCAATGGTGGAAAGTTTGTAGGACCTTATGATATCCTAATTGAAGTGTGAAAATATTTAGGAGATTTGAGAGTTTCTTGATGTTCTATACTCTTTAACACTAAACTCTTTAATATTATTTTAAAAAATAAAAAGATGCCTGAGGAGTGGAGGAAGAGTATTTTGGTCCCCATTTTTAAAAATAAAAGGATGCACAAGAGTGTGCAAATTATATACAAATTAAGATGATGTGTTATATTTTAAAGTTATGGGAGAGGGTAATTGAACATAGGTTAAGACGTATTACAAAGATTTCTCATAATCAGTTTGGATTTATGTCGGGTAGGTGTACTATGGAAGCTATACATTTATTGAGAGGTTTGATGGAGGAGTTAAGAGATAATAAGGAGAATCTACATTTGATTTTTATTGATTTAGAAAAAGCGTACGATAAGGTTACAAGAGATATCCTTTGGAGAGTTCTTGAAAATAAAGGTGTTGATATGACTTATATTCAAGTCATTAAAGATATGTATACTAGAGCTGTTACTTGTGTTCGAACTGAAGGAGGATTGACCAAATATTTTCCTATTTCCGTTGGATTACATCAGGGATTGACTTTAAGCCCATATCTTTTTTCTTTAGTTATGGATGGTCTTACTGGACATCTACAGGAGGATGTACCTTGGTGTATGCTTGTTGCTGATGATATCCTTCTCATGGATAAGACGAGAGAAAAGACCCAGGAAAACTTGAATTATGGAGGTCTACATTTGGAGTCTAAAAGACTTCATTTAAGTAGAATTAAAATTGAATTCATGGAATGTAATTTTAGTAGTAGTAGTTCTAGTGACAGAAGCGTGATTTTGAGTGATCAAATTATTAAAATGTATGAACGATTTAGATATCTTGGTTCTGTTGATGAAAGCGATTGTGATATAGATGGGGATGTTAATAGTAGAATTCAAGTTGGTTGGTTGAAGTGGAGGAATGTTTCGGGCCTTTTGTGTGATAGAAAAGTATCGTTTAGACTGAAAGGGAAATTTTATAAGACAACGGTGAGACTGCGGCCTTTAAAAGAGAAACATAATAATAAGTTAAGTGTTGTTGAGATGAGAATGATTAGGACAAAATGCGAAATGAATAAATCCGTGATAGGGTTGGTGTAGCTTTTGTGATGGACAAAATTAGTGAAAGTCGTCTTAGATGGTTTGGTCATATTAAATTTCGATCATCTGATGATCCGATTAGGAGAGTAGATGTTTTAGATTCGACTTATGTTAAGAAAGGTAGAGGTAGATTTAGGAAGACTTGGGCTTTTTGTATAAAAAATGATCGTAATTTGTTTGAACTAAATGAAAATATGACATTAAATAGGATACAATGGAGAAAAATGATTCATGTAACCGACCCCATGTAGTGGGATTAAGGCTTTGTTGTTGTTGTATTAAATTTCTATCTCAAATTCTCACTCTTATCCAAGCATTGATTCAAATTCATGAATATGTTCTAATGTAGATACAAATTTTGACTAAACATTTGATACACATTCATATATTAATTGCAACTCATCTTCTGCATTTAAAACATCTTAACATGATTAATTTCTTCAATATGATTCTATTGAACCATATATGATTCTATTGTTATCATACTTAACTGCTTGTAGATATGATTTGAATTTCTTAGGTGCATTAATCATATATTTAGAATTTCTATGGATATGATTGTAATATTCTTTAATATCTGAGGATATGCATAAAACTAAGTTAAGTGTTGTTGAGATGAGAATGCTTGGGTGGATGAATGACTTGACACTTAGAGACAAAATGTGAAGTGAATGTATCCGTGAAAGATTTGGTGTAGCTCCAGTGGCAGACAAGATTAGACCATCTAATGTTTCAGTTAGGAGAGTAGATATTTTAGATTCGACCAATGTTTATCATACTTAACTGCTTGTAGATATGATTTGAATTTCTTAGGTGCATTAATCATATATTTAGAATTTCTATGGATATGATTGTAATATTCTTTAATATCTGAGGATATGCATAAAACTAAGTTAAGTGTTGTTGAGATGAGAATGCTTGGGTGGATGAATGACTTGACACTTAGAGACAAAATGTGAAGTGAATGTATCCGTGAAAGATTTGGTGTAGCTCCAGTGGCAGACAAGATTAGACCATCTAATGTTTCAGTTAGGAGACTAGATATTTTAGATTCGACCTATGTTTAGAAAGGTAGAGTTAGACCTAAAAAGGCTTTGGCATATTGTATAAAAAAAGATCTTAATTTATTAGAATTAAACGCAATATGAGACAATGGAGAAAAATAATTCATGTTCTTGACTCCACTTATTTGGATGAAGGCTTGTTGCTGTTGTTGTTTTTATCTGAGAATATGCAGAAAGCAGCATCAATTTTTTGTTGAATTATAGTTTTGTTGTTTTTGATTTCTTGTTAAGGCCTTTATTAAATTAAATACTCCAACAATAAATAATATTTAGCTAAAATAACTATAAATATTGCCATATTTGCTTATTTGCCACTTTTTTACTAAATTGATCACGCAGTTGATCTTTATACTAATTAAGTGATAAGTATTGCTCTTTAATATTTATGTCTGTTTTTTTCATCAAACTCTTGATGACTTGGTAAATAATTGGGCCTATCTTATTAATTTTGTTTTAATGCGTTCAAGTCTTTGGCAATTAATTAGATTATATTTTTTGAAGAAGATTTTTAACTATTGATCAAACGCTAAAATTTTCTATGATCATATCAGCCATCAAATGTAAGAATCTAATTTGGAACTTTGTAATAATAACATTGTATTTGTTTAGAATTTTAAGTTAACCTATCTTATTTAAATTGAATTATTTATTATTTATTATCTACTCATTTCCTATGCATTAGTTTTATTTAATATGTTAGCGCAACCGAAAGCTTTAATATTAAATTGATGTGTAGGTTGTTTTATGGTCTAGGTTTTCTAGTGCCAACTAAAATGTTGCAATAAGTATGAATCACATAGAAGAAATTATTCATAGACAAAGGATCACTAGTCTAGAACTTCAATTTTTAAATTTTATTTAAATTGTCTTTTATTAATTTTATATTGACTCAATTATTATGCCATATTTCTAGTTAATATGTTGATTTAATTATAAGCTATGATATCACAAAGTGATGTAGGTTGCCTAAGGGTTTAGGGTTCCTAATGCCATCTAGGATGTTGCAATGGATGTAAATCACGTAGTAGGATTCTTATAAACATCTAAAAATAAAAAGTCGACTTCTTTAGGTTAAAATTTAAATACAGGAGAGATGGAATAAAAAAAGTGAATGCATCAATCTGTTCATCAAACTTGTCAAGAAATTTCAGTCAGGAAGTTAATCGAGCAACCAATTATTTTCAAAACTCACCTGTGAAAATTCTGACCAAATTAAGACTTGCAATGCCAATAATCAATAATATTGATTAAGAGAAGGAACCATTGAAGTGGAAAAAAATGCTTATCTCATGCTGATAGGAGATTTTCCCCCAAAAATTACCTATGGCATTCTTAACCACTTAAAAAACTACCGTATTTAACAAGAACATGTGAAATTTTATTGTTGTACAAAGAGCAGAGAATGGGCAATATTAGAATAGTAGAAATAGGTGAGAAGAACATAGCGTGGGTGAAAAAAAATGGAACAACACGTTACAATGTAAATCATAATAATTGTGAATTTATAATTGAACCTACATAGCAACAAACCGGTGAACCAATAAAAAAACCATTAGACTGGGAAATTCTAGCAGCCAGAATCAATCAAACTGAGCCAAAAGAACTTGGACTTTAGCATAGAAAACACGTCATCCTCATTAGGAAACATAATCATATAGACATTTTCTTGTGAATATAAAATTTAACTTGCAAAAAAAAAAAAAAAAAGAAAAAGAAAAAGTCCATAATTCATCAAATTACTAATGTCTTGTTGTAGCACTCCAGATTTACGCTTGTGATGATTGAAGACACTCGGATATCCATCAAACTTACTCCTAGAGCTCAGCCTTAACTACTTGCAAATCATTTGGTCTAAAAGTTAAATTGGCTTTAGCGTAGTTGTGATGTGAAGCAATATTAGTTGTAATGTGAACCAATATTAGTTTTATTCTCATCCTCGAGCCTTTATGTTTGATGATTTGTTTGTTTTCTCTCACCATTTTTATAGTAATTTCATATAATAGAAAATATCAGCACCTTGCCATGTATCCAATTTTTTCTAGTCATGTCTTGTTCATTTGGTTGCCTTGTATTGCTCTATTGAGTTCGTCATTTGTGGTTACAACGCTTGCAAGCATATGATGACATATTCTAGGGAAAACTCCTCTTTTTTATTTCACTAGTTCTTCTCTATATATTTTCTCCAATTTATCCTGATTCTCTGTTTTGATTTCTTTGAAGCTTCTGTAGGATCTACTGAAGAGTGAAATAATTATCATATACAAAATTGGACTATTCCATATTTTAATTTTGAATGGAATGATTATGTATTTACTTTCCAATTGATGATTTCCATCTAATGATAGGATACATGATCTAGCCTTTTGATCTCGTCTCTTGCAGTATCCACGCCCGCAGGCCACCACGTTCACTGAAGACTTTGATTTCACAGCAATGAATGAAAAGTTCAACAAGGATGAAGTTTGGGGCCATCTGGGCAAAAGCAGACCCCACTCAAGCAACATTGAAGAAGATGATGAAGCTTATGGCTTCGAGGAAGAAAATCGACAGTCTGTAGAATTTGATGTCAAGGTAATGCATTCCTCTCCTTGCTTCTCTCTTCATTCACACTTTAAAAAGTTATTTCAAGCATGATTCTTTGAATCCTTTTCTTATTCTCTCTTGTTCTGTTGATGAAGCCCGTTTATGTGAAGGATGATTTCTTCGATTCCCTTTCTTCCAATAGCAATGACCAAACGAGCAATGGGAGGATAAAGTTTTCCGAACAGCTGAAGATTGACACCGAGGTACATTTAACAAAGCTGTGCTCCTTGAGAGATTTTTTCACCCACACCCTGCTCTATCAAACTGTCTCAAAATTTTAATTTAAAATTTTAATTTTTCCATTCCAGACTTTTGGTAATTTTTCGAGACCTCGATCTGCATATAGAGGAGGACGAGGTGTTCGTGGAGGCCGAGGCCGGGGCTCTTACTATGGTCGGGGCTATGGCTACTCCGGAAGGGGAAGGGGTTATCCTGGCACAAGCCGAGACTCTTAGCAACTTGTTGTTCTTCCTAATATTATTATTACTGGGAGATGGCGAAAACACTGAAAAGTTGTTAGTCTGAAATAACATAATTAGCCAGGGCTATTTCACGAGAAAAAGCTCTGGTGGTATGCATGTGTTTATGTTTGCTTATAGGGCAAAATATGGTCTCTCTTCTGATATCCTGCATTTCTCCTGCAAATGTGGTATTGTTGGTGGAATTTGTCTCCTTCAAATGGTAATATATTTGGATTGGTATTTGTAGTTTATTTTCTTTTGCTTTCTAGTTGCATGTTTTGTTTGCTGAAAAAAGGTTGGATCAGGATGTCCTATTAAAATTTTAGCTAGAATGAATTTAATTTTATTGGACTTGCGTTAAGATTAGTTTTAATTGATTATTTCTATAAAAGTTATTGCCACTTTTTAAAATTTAATTTTTTTAGTTTTTCGCTTGTATGTGATTGAGGTTGAGGTGTTTTCTGTAATAGGATTTGTTTGGTGGGATGTCCATATAAAAAGCTCTATTGCCATAAGAAAAAAGTTTGTTGGAATGAAGTTCTATTGCTTGCTAAAATAGTGTTGGGGCATATGCATTCATTGCGACAATTCGAATTTACACTACTCTCACAAAATGAGTAGTATTATTGCTTTAAAAAAGTGAAATGCACCTCTTGTATAAAATTAAAGCAATACGGTGTAAAATTTTTTCAGTAATACATGAGAAATAATTATCAATAAGAAATTATACATAAGATTAATTAGGTTCCCTCACAGTTGGATTTCAGTTTTGTCTTTTATGAATCACATTCAGAGAGCAAGTGAAGAAGAGAAGGGAGGAGATGATGTTTTGGGATCTTTATTAGTATAGTGAGGGAAATGCCGCTTTATTCGTATTTTTATCCCGTATTTATAGATGTGTTTTGTATAATTATAGAAAGGAGAGAACGGTTATGAAAACCGTTTTTAATGCCATTAAGACTCTAATTTATTGTATAGATTGTCAAAATTTGAATTTTAATATTTGTGGTAATTAGCTAGTCGGTGGCTGGTAGTCGTGCCTTATGGAGCACACATTGGTCGGTCGAGGTACTTGATCGTATGACGATCTTGCTCAGTGTCTTTTAACACAGTCGACCAGAGCGGTTGGTTGTGAGGTGGTCATTCAGTCCGGACGTTGGGGTTGGTGAGTCGAATGTGATCTACCGTCTTTTTTTTAGTGAGATGCGACTCATTTTTTCATTCGGCTTGAGTCATACAGGGCTCATGTCTGGCATGTCTAGATGATTCATCGTCTTGGCTGAATCTCCCAATCTTGCGAGGTCTTCATTTATTCCTGTCGCAACCTATACGGGGTATCCAACGAGACTCCTGTTGAGATGATTCAAGCCTCACTTTAGGCGGGGCTTACCATTACTGAGTGGGGACCATCTTCGGAGCTTAAACCTATCCGGGTTTAAAGACACGACTTCATGTTGGGCCTTAAAACGTGAGCGGCATTTAGGCGGGGCTTACCATTACTGAGTGGGGACCATCTCCGGAGCTTAAACCTATCCGGGTTTAAAGACAAGACTTCATGTTGGGCCTTAAAACGTGAGCGACATCTTGGTCGTTTGTTCTCCTTGAGATTCATGCTGGTATTTTTGGTATATACATATTAGTTCCCTAAATTTTCTTACTCATTGATAGCGACAACTACAATAAGAACATACAAATTATTAAACAATCGTTAGCAATAAATTTGTGAAATGATTGAACACGTGACTTCCCTTAAAATACCATGCTCCTTGTGCTTTATAAATAGATAGGAATTGAGCTCGGTATCATTTGTCGTCAATTTTTCTTTTCACAACTTAGGTGTGTTATGGTTGACAAATCGAATCGGATCGTTGTGGATCATGAGCGGCTCACGAGGGCAGGGTTTCAGATTCCTTCTTCTATAAAGAAGAAGGTGGTGGCGATGGAAAAAAGAGCGAGGCTCGAATCTAACCTGGTCGACGTAGTCGAATCATCCAATGATGCATAAGGTCATTCGCTGAAAAGGCCTCACCGAGGGGTCTCAAAGTCTGGCTCAAGTGTGTGTTTTGAGGGCCAATATGCCCTTCTAACTGAGGCGAGCGACAAGGAGCTAGGGGGAGTGGCTATCACGACCATTCCGCAGTCGCTACCACAGGAAAGTGGGGGTGTCTTGACATCGGAGGGAGAGGAGGCCTTTAAAACTGTCTTCTCCAGAAAGAGATTTATTGATGAATTGGCCTTGTCAGAGGAACATTAGGAGGATAGGCTGTCAAAGAATGTTGCAGAGTCTACCTCTACTATGGTGGTTGATTCGTAGGTTTGAGATGTGGGGCTCCTACTGCTGTCAACCCCGGTAATTAATCTGCCTCTCGACCCATCTTTCATGAAAGATCTCCGGCTGTAGGATCGTCAAGGCGGGCACAATCCCACGAGATCATATAGCAGCGGTCAGGCAAGGCGTAATCATTAGCGGGGCCATCAAATCTTTTGAGGGACTCGTCGGGGGTAAGGCTGTAGACGAGCCGAGCTTGAACAAGCTTAGGCTTGGTTCATGTTCGGCTCATTCGAAATTGCTCATGATCAAAATCAGCTCATGTTGAAAATCAGCTCGCGAACAGTGTGTTCGTATTCGACTCAATTTAAATATTTGTGTTCACATTCGGCTCGAAATTGGCTCACTAAAATTAAATTAGAAAAAAATAGATGTAGATTGTTGGATTCAAACCTGGACCAAATGTATGCAAAAAATGACACAACCACATTTCCACATGAGTTGTATGATTTAAACTTAGATATAAATATATATAATATATTATTATATAATTAATATATGTAATATATTATTATATAAATAACTATATGATTTTATTTTGAGATAAAACGAGTCGAACATGAGCGAACAAAGAGTTGTTTGTGTTCCGTTTGTTTAAAATTCAAGCTTTGAAAAATTGAACTTGTTCGACTCTCTTACTTAATGAACGAGCCAACCGTGAGCTACTTAACAAGCCGAACACTAGCTCTTCGTGAACAACGAGCTTTTTTGATAGCCCTAGTCAGCGGTTAAGCTGCAGATCCTGTACAGGCGCTTTCTGCTCGCTTGGATGTTAAAGTAGTGTTTCTGCGGATGAAGCTCACCACTCTCTGAGGTGGGCTAAATGCGGTGTTTTGCAAGCTGGAGGCACTCCGTGAGATTTCTGATCTAGCAAAGTTCAACCGGGAAGCTGATCAGATGGTTCATATTAGGTTAGAAGGAGTGATGGTTCTCCGGAAGTTGAGGGAGCATCTCCCCTTCAAGCTCTTGGAGGACCTCTTTATAAAACAATTTGTTCGAGGTTTATAATAAGTTATTCACAATAGAATAATATTTTAATGAATTTTTGAAAAGACGTTTTGTGTGATACTTATCATTATGTGATGCTTCGTTTGACACGCTAATCTATAAATAGAGGAAGGGGTTGCTTCTTTTCACTTTATGCACTTTTATTTTATTTTATTTTTTTTTGCTTCTATTCTCCTTTCGTCCTTCGGTAGGTTCTTCTCTTGTATTTCGAGATGGCTCTCAAATACTCACTGTTTTTTGTTCAGCTCCGCAATAAAACAATTTGTTCGAGGTTTATAATAAGTTATTCACAATAGAATAATATTTTAATGAATTTTTGAAAAGACGTTTTGTGTGATACTTATCATTATGTGATGCTTCGTTTGACACGCTAATCTATAAATAGAGGAAGGGGTTGCTTCTTTTCACTTTATGCACTTTTATTTTATTTTATTTTTTTTTGCTTCTATTCCCCTTTCGTCCTTCGATAGGTTCTTCTCTTGTCTTTCGAGATGGCCCTCAAATACTCACTTTTTTTTGTTCAGCTCCGCGAAGGGAACAAACTCTTCATTTCTTACAGGAAAAAAGTGAGGGAACTATAGCGAAAGTTTGTTCTTGAAGAGAGCATAAGTTATCTAAAGTTGCTCGGATTGGCATGAGTGACGGAACCTCTAGGAAAATTTCTGGTTTTCTACCAAAACCTGTTCAAGTATGGCCTCCAGTTGCCCTTGTGCTAGGAACTTTGGAGCATCTTCAACACTTATGGGGTTATTCTAGCGCAAGTGATGCTGAACTCCATAACTGTAATCATGAATTTTGTCCTTTTCTGTTGGTGGGAGAAACTTGCATGGTCGATCAAACTCTTTAGATACTTATTCTTATTCAAGGTCGACAAAGAGGCCTATGCTATATACTTAGTGGGCAATAAACTCCACGTAGGAGTGGAGAATAAGATAAGGGATTGGAAGAAGAAGTTGTTGGCTGGTTTCTGTTTTGGCACTTGGGGAATCCAAATCGATCTATTAGGGTTTAGGGTGTCCTAGCCGAGGTCTCTTCCAGAGAGCATGACCGTTGCTCTAAAGAGGTTGTATGACCATCATCTCTGAGTTTCTTAATATAATGCTGACGCAATAGATACCCATGTCCTGACGGGTAAAATTACAGAGGAGCAATGACACAACTCAAGAATTGTAGAAGAGGTCCGAGAGAAGGTGGTGAACAAGAAGTTAGCTGCCAAGAGTCAGATGTGGAAACACCTCCCAGAATCAGGCAATCTGGAAACGCCTCCCAAAATTCATTCTAAATTGATCTAACTTTCTTGAAATTGCAGCAACTTGATTTGCTAGCATGAGAAAAGCATCAGTTTCATGAATATTGGCTACTTTCTTAAGATTTACCCTTTCAGAAGGCCATTGAAATTTATTTATAGCCATCTCTTCAATTAAAGCATAAGCGTCTTGAAATGGTTTTGACAACAATGAACCACCAGCAGCGGCATTGATAATAGATCTAAGAGATTCAACTAATCCATTGTAAAAAGTTTGAATTATTAACTAATCTGGTATAGCATGGTGTGAACACTTTCTTAAGGATTTTTTAAATCGTTCCCATGCTTCATAAATAGATTTCCCTTCAAATTGTTAAAAAGATGTAATATCATTTCTAAGTTTCATAGTTTTTTGTGGTGAAAAATATTTAGCAAGGAATTTTTGTGCTAAATCACTCCAAGTTCTGATAGATCTAGGTGATAACAGGTGTAACCATATCTTAGCTTTATCCCTTAGTGAGAAATGAAATAATCTAAGTCTTATAGCATCATCTAATACATCATCATATTAAATGTAGCACACAATTCTAGAAATTTGGCAAGATGTAAATTTGGATCTTCAGTTGGTGCTCCCCCAAACTGATTATTTGATACCATTTGGATAATAGCGGGTTTAAGCTCAAATGAATTAACAAATATAACGAGTTTTTG